TGTAGGAAATGGTTCAATTTATTGCCACATTTACTTGACTGCCATGTCATGAATCATTGATTGATCTTTGAATCTTCAACACGATTTTTTTAAAGGTGTGAAGATGAAAAAAAAAATCATTTAACTTTTGATGATTCTAGGTCAGTTTACTTTCCTTTCATTTTCACTTCAATTCATAATGAAATTGCATTTCATCTTGCCTGAAATTCATATCACGTCCCTCGTACCAACTAACCCTGAATGTTTGCATTGTGAATTAAATGTAATGAAATTTTAATTTAATTAGCTGAAACTACATGAGCCCCTTGACATACGTTTTCGTTTTGCTAACTGTTCACTCGTGCACTCACCCACTCCAAAATTCATATGCGAAAGAAAGCAGAAGCTGTGGAAATAAAATTCTTCTCGTTTTTAATTCATGAACAATGAAAATGAGCAAAGTGAGGCTGGTTATGATGAATTTTTTCACTCGCATTATTTAATGTCAGGGGTTCATCCTTTTGACTTCTGCATTTCAAGTTCCTTCTCAAACTTATGCAAATTCCTTTGGGAATTTTTATTTTTTCACTTCTGTTGAGCACCATGCAAAGGATGCTTTTAAATTAATCAATTTTAATGGTAGGAAGAAATTGAAATCATTTAATTGTACGTGCAATTGAATTGTTTTTGTAAAAGAAAATTGATGAGGCGTTGTAGGTTGATTGCTGCTTTTTTGAAGTCATGGGAAATAAATGAATGAGACATTATTTCAAAATAACATCAAAGTCAGCTTATTACAGTTAACTCATCACAATTTGGAGATTCGTTAAAAGTTTCATGTTGTATCTAAAATGTGTAACAATTCCTTTGTATAATTTAAAAATGTTTTCACATGATTTGTTATGAGAAATTTTATTTAGTTTGTGGCAAACTATTTAAATAAGAATTAAAATTTAATCTATATTCCAATATATTCAGAACCTCCGCCAACATAAATCCTCAGTTTTCTATTTGTGATTATTTATCAGAGACGTTGGTGGTCACAATAACGAAATGAATAGTAAGTCAAAAGAAAATCATTGAAATCTTTCAACTAACACTTTCCCTTCCATAAGATTGTGGTTTTATAAGTTTCAGCATCAATTGTTAATAACAGGAAGAGAATATCGACATCACGGCATAGTCATCAATTTTCTTTCTTAGCTATTAAATGGAAATTATTTAAACCAACAAACGATCAAAGAGTCAACAATAGAAAACCGCAGGTAAAGGACAAGCAGACCACACAGTCATAATATGTTTTTGCTGCCTTTTCTCTTCCCTTTGATTCATTTCAAAGGCGTTTTTAATTTTGATGATTGCAATTAAGAATTATTGGTTTCTCTGTTATAATGAAAGGCTTGCAAACAACGATCGGTTGAGCTCTCTACAAGACGTTCAGAGAGTTTTACTACACCATCTGGTGAAGCGACCATTCAAGAAATTTTCAATTGAAATGCTTAAAGTGTTGATAAATTAAATTTAATTTGCAAATATCCTTGAGGGTCGATGCTGTCTTTTTATTTGCCTTGCCGTCTCAAATTTATTTCTTCCACAATAAATATTTTTGACATGGTAAGATGAATTACTATCCCTTGAAATTTAACTTTTGGTCGAGTTTAATCTTTTCGGTATCCAATCTACCGGCGCTTCTTGTAATCTAATTAAAATCTGGAAGCTGGAGAAGTTCTAAAAGAATTTTACAATTTAATTCGCTATGGCAAGTCGGAAATTTATCTTCGCCGTTACTTTCATTTTTATCTAGCCTCGATGACTTTAAAATCCCTTGAATAAACTCTAAAGTAAATTGTTTATGAATGGCATTTTATTTTTATGCCTCTTGCCATCTTATTTTATCGTTCGAAATTTTGTATTTCTACTTGTAAAGATGGCAGAGTGAAGCAAAAACATATTTTTCTTTTTATGTCAAAGAGGGAAGGAAAAGAAACCTTTTCATGACAAAATAAATTGCGTTTTAGAATTAGTGTTTCTCAAAATCCCTGATTTTTCAGAATCAGGGAAAAAGGGAAAAGGGATCGTTCAATCCCTAGGGAAAATAGGGAATTTTTAGGGAAAAGTAAAAGCATGGAAAAAAGATTTTATATTTTATTTTCCATGCTTTTTATTTATTTGCAATTTTTTTGAACAGACTTTTAAGGAAGCATAAAGCATCAAGATGTGAGTCTCCCAACGCATTCTTTTCTTTGTTACAAATGAAGCTGCGACTGAGAAATTTCTTTCGCTTTGAGTGTTCATCGACGAAGTCAAAATCTTCATCGTAATCAGATAGTTCTGACATGCTGCTTTGCGAGCTTTCTGATTCTTCTAACACATAATATACATGATTGAAATGATGTGTTACATTTAGAAAAAGAAAATTCAAAATTATAGTATAATT